TGTGGTGAGGAATAGCACGAGGTCCTAGTCTTGGGTGCTTCTAGTATGGCCCAAGGTGAGTGATAACGGACTAACCTCGTGAGTGTGGTAGGGTGAAATCCATTGGCAATGACTTTGCAAAGAAGTAGAGGCCACCACGAGTGCATAACCCGCCATAGCTCGGCAATCATTCTAATCTGGACGAGTCAAGTGTAAAGTGTAAGAAGTTATGTTGCGTAGTCTAATATATCTGCCTTTAATTGCATATTGTGTGTGATTGGTATAACATGATTTTTGTATATCTAGCTCACCCTTGCTTGTGTGTTTATGTTTGCTATACGCTTTCTTTTGCAATGATCATCCACTTGGATGTGAGCATAGGCGGATGAGGTGAGTAGGCTTTGGAGAAAGACAATACTGTTGTTTAGTTCATTAGGAATTTAAGTGTTTCCTTATCTTTCAAAACACTCCAGTATGTTAAGTTTTAAATTCTGAAGACCTTTTGAGGATGACTGTAATTCTAATTATTCCTGACTGTTTTTCTATATTATGCATGATGACGTCTTTATTATATATGTTCTCTATATAATCGGGATGTTACATGCAACAATTCTATTTTTTTTTAATAAAATACAAAAAAGTTAATTTAATTGTGCGTACAACAATTTACACTACAATTTGTATACAAAGTAACAAATTATATGGATACACATAACATGACATATTAAACCGTTTTTAAAAAAAAATAAGATTTATTGAATTTAGATATTGACAACAAAAATATTTTATTAAAAATATACGTCCAAGAGTAGCTATAATAATCAACATTATATTACGAAATCATTGTATAAGACATTACAAAATTTTGCAAGTCTAATGAATTTAAATAAACATAGATAATAACATGTTTATCTTTATGTATATATGTATAATTTCTTCACTGTATACTAAAACTACAACAAAAATAGTTTTTATCAATTTACTCGTTTTCAAATAATTTAACTTCCAAGACTACACTAGTAACCATTTTTTCTATATCCATTTCTAATTATAATTTGTTGGTAATCAATCTATTTAATAATCTTATCTAAAAGATCACATAATTTCATATTTAATAAAATCAAATTCTATTATAGTTAATTAAAAATAACATACATAGATATGTATGTCCACATTTTTTTTATAATGTCTATATAATTTAAAGATTATATAATTTATAATGTATATAATTTTAAAAAATAATGTACATAATTTTAAAGATTATATACATTCTAAGCATATTATTTTACTAAATAATAAGTTTTCCATTTTCTAAGTCCTTGCCATGCCATGAGACATGCACAAAGCAATTCTGATGCCTTTTCCTTTATTTTCATATTTGTCAAACATCATCTGATCACAATAGAAAAAGACAAGAGAAAATCGTTGGAAAAGATGAGGAAGAAGACATCAGCGGATTTATTACTGTGTTCCTTAAAATCATACATAGTCCCTACAACAGAATCCAGTGTTTCAGACAGAAAATATCCCCCGACAAGAGAAAACTTCTAAAGATACAAATTGTGACACATAACATCACTGCAGTTGTATCAAATAATCCAATGAAAATGAAATCATCAAAAGCAAAAACCAAAGATAAAACCTCTTCTGATGTAACTGCAGACTGTGCTAGTAGATCAAAGAAAGGGGGAAATGATGAAAGAATCTACTTAATGTACTGAGACACCCACTGGAAGCCATCTCCATATCCCATTTTGCGGACAATGCTGCACATGAACACTTCCAGAGGCCGAAGGTTGGACTCTGTCAGGTTCACCTTCCCCTTCCCTGTGGTGAAATTGGTCAGACCCAGATGATAACGTAGCTCTTCTTCTGATGCAGCATATGGAATGTCAATCTTGTTTCCTAGCACAAGAAATGGAACATTTGCCAATGATTCGTCCGAAAGCAAGGCATCAAGCTCCTTCTTTGATTCTGTGAACCTCTCTTTGTCATAGGCATCAACCAGGTAAACCACTGCATCCACCTGGAAAAGCAAAGTGATTGTCAATTCTAAACCATTTTCAAATAATTCTAAGCACCATTCCTGTGATTGCACATTAAACGGCTCTTGATGAAGAAAGTAGGAAACCACCATCATCAATAAGTTATAGCTCAATGGAAGACTAGCCATGCATTGCACACTCGCAGAAAAAAATTGTGAAATAAAAATGTATACTTGAATTGGGAACATTGATAGGTGATGACCATCAAACTGATTTCATGCTTATCTTATTGAATATCTACCTTCACGACTAGGAGAATGCATCAATTTAGAATTTTCACTACTTCTTAAATTGAATAGATGTATCTACTCTAGCTCTTTCAGAGATCTATAAAACCTTTATCCGTGTGCTCTTTTCTTTCTAAAAATCATCAAGAATATGTTAGGCATGTCAGGAAATATACTAGTAAAGCACACCCTACCCTACAACGTTGAAAGAAGTGTTATCTGTAAAATTTTCACAGACAATATTTACCTCTCATGAATCAGACCATAAATACAATTTGAAATCTAAATCAGTGAGCACATGTGAAAATCAAGAAGGGTTTCAGAACAGCAACAGTACATCAGCAAAATATGACATGAATGTAGAGTAGAGACAAAGCAACTCGTATAAAAAGCTAGCAGGCACATCAAATAGGAAGTGAACAACAATGAATAAGACAGCCCTTCTGCCACTGGATCTTCAAAACATCAACAAGTGGGCAAGTCCAAAGACCTTCCATTTAGGAAGAGAGGAAATGTTAAGAACAATGTTCAATCACATCCAACAGAGAGCAAATCTTCACTACGAAACTATCCGGAAACATTTGAAAAACATGCACATGTATACCAGGGCTGATTGGTGACAGAGTGATAACAAATGCACCCTAGCCACCTGAAAAAATCCACCCCTTTTCTTCAGAAGCACAAAAGAAGTACTATTTTCCAGAGGCAAAATATCAAGATTTGAAAAGAAAAATCAGAAATGTACACATCCAATTCCAACTGAAAGTAAATATTCCCAAGGCGCTAACAGGGACAAGGCACTAACTAGATTAAATAGTAGAGGGCATAAGTGATATCCAAGTAGGTCTAATTTTTATTATAAGGCACTACCAAGTCTTGCTTGTAAGAAACTGTAAAAACCCAGTATTACAAGAATTTATCATTGAAAAGGAAAAGAATCCAAAATTGATAACCCAAAATGATTGAAGACATTATTGACCTTGGCATAGTAGTCTTTCCAGACTCTACGGGCAACTTGATGACCCCCCAAATCAAAAGCCTTAAACTTGATCTTTCCAATGCTCAATTCCTCCGAAGTGGGGTGCTGGGTCGGCTGGTGCTGAACTAATCTCTGCAATTGCATCGAAAAGGTGAAAACTTTTTTCAGTAAAGAAAAATAAATTAGAAAAAAAAAGGGTATCTGACGTCAAAGAAGAGAAACCTCGTCTTTGAGCATGTGAAGGAGGGTAGTCTTTCCGGCATTATCGAGACCGAGGAAGAGAATCTTGGCTTCTTTCTGCCAAAGGCCGAGGGAAGCTAGAATGCCATAGAACCAGTCGAAGAGGAACATGCTTGAATTGCAGATGTAGGTGTTGTGTCGGTGTTGGGGGAGAAAAGAGAAGTCCCAGATCGAAGAGGAGAAGGTAAACTAACCTAGATCCCACCAAACCAAGTCTTAGATTGATTGTCTTTTTAGGCAATTAATTCAATTCAGCGTTTCAAACGCATGTGGTAGGAATTCTCCTCTTTTTTTCTTTTTTATTTTCTTCCAAACACCACATCTAACTAAGAACAGAGAGCGAGGGACCCATTCCTCTAAAACAACTTCTCTACTGTGACTGTTATTTTCATGCTATGCAAAAACACACATACTTCTTATTATAAAATAACATTACGAGTATGACTGGATTAAATATTCCTAAAAAAATTTACAATTACAATGATTAATAGAGTAAATCTNTTATAGCTCAATGGAAGACTAGCCATGCATTGCACACTCGCAGAAAAAAATTGTGAAATAAAAATGTATACTTGAATTGGGAACATTGATAGGTGATGACCATCAAACTGATTTCATGCTTATCTTATTGAATATCTACCTTCACGACTAGGAGAATGCATCAATTTAGAATTTTCACTACTTCTTAAATTGAATAGATGTATCTACTCTAGCTCTTTCAGAGATCTATAAAACCTTTATCCGTGTGCTCTTTTCTTTCTAAAAATCATCAAGAATATGTTAGGCATGTCAGGAAATATACTAGTAAAGCACACCCTACCCTACAACGTTGAAAGAAGTGTTATCTGTAAAATTTTCACAGACAATATTTACCTCTCATGAATCAGACCATAAATACAATTTGAAATCTAAATCAGTGAGCACATGTGAAAATCAAGAAGGGTTTCAGAACAGCAACAGTACATCAGCAAAATATGACATGAATGTAGAGTAGAGACAAAGCAACTCGTATAAAAAGCTAGCAGGCACATCAAATAGGAAGTGAACAACAATGAATAAGACAGCCCTACAGCCACTGGATCTTCAAAACATCAACAAGTGGGCAAGTCCAAAGACCTTCCATTTAGGAAGAGAGGAAACGTTAAGAACAATGTTCAATCACATCCAACAGAGAGCAAATCTTCACTACGAAACTATCCGGAAACATTTGAAAAACATGCACATGTATACCAGGGCTGATTGGTGACAGAGTGATAACAAATGCACCCTAGCCACCTGAAAAAATCCACCCCTTTTCTTCAGAAGCACAAAAGAAGTACTATTTTCCAGAGGCAAAATATCAAGATTTGAAAAGAAAAATCAGAAATGTACACATCCAATTCCAACTGAAAGAAAATATTCCCAAGGCGCTAACAGGGACAAGGCACTAACTAGATTAAATAGTAGAGGGCATAAGTGATATCCAAGTAGGTCTAATTTTTATTATAAGGCACTACCAAGTCTTGCTTGTAAGAAACTGTAAAAACCCAGTATTACAAGAATTTATCATTGAAAAGGAAAAGAATCCAAAATTGATAACCCAAAATGATTGAAGACATTATTGACCTTGGCATAGTAGTCTTTCCAGACTCTACGGGCAACTTGATGACCCCCCAAATCAAAAGCCTTAAACTTGATCTTTCCAATGCTCAATTCCTCCGAAGTGGGGTGCTGGGTCGGCTGGTGCTGAACTAATCTCTGCAATTGCATCGAAAAGGTGAAAACTTTTTTCAGTAAAGAAAAATAAATTAGAAAAAAAAAGGGTATCTGACGTCAAAGAAGAGAAACCTCGTCTTTGAGCATGTGAAGGAGGGTAGTCTTTCCGGCATTATCGAGACCGAGGAAGAGAATCTTGGCTTCTTTCTGCCAAAGGCCGAGGGAAGCTAGAATGCCATAGAACCAGTCGAAGAGGAACATGCTTGAATTGCAGATGTAGGTGTTGTGTCGGTGTTGGGGGAGAAAAGAGAAGTCCCAGATCGAAGAGGAGAAGGTAAACTAACCTAGATCCCACCAAACCAAGTCTTAGATTGATTGTCTTTTTAGGCAATTAATTCAATTCAGCGTTTCAAACGCATGTGGTAGGAATTCTCCTCTTTTTTTCTTTTTTATTTTCTTCCAAACACCACATCTAACTAAGAACAGAGAGCGAGGGACCCATTCCTCTAAAACAACTTCTCTACTGTGACTGTTATTTTCATGCTATGCAAAAACACACATACTTCTTATTATAAAATAACATTACGAGTATGACTGGATTAAATATTCCTAAAAATATTTACAATTACAATGATTAATAGAGTAAATCTATTTAATTATTCATAAACTATTAAAACATAACTCATTGGATTCAATCAAATTTGTTAATTACTTAAAAAAATACACTAAAATCAACTATTTTAATTAACGAACTTCAATAAAAGTTATTTGAAGAATAAAATAAATAGAGATGTGAGTTATCCCGTAGAATTATAAATTAAAAAAACAGAAAATATATTTTTTAATATTAACTCTCAACTTCAGATATAAATTAACTCTCAACTATTTCACAAAGCATTCAAATCAACTTTATGTTTGTTTTTTTTCAATAATTGGGCCTCAAGCGTCTTGTTCTCATGGGCCGAAAGCCCATGTCTCCCCTTACAGCAACCCACGCAACTTACGATAAGCAAGGGTATTATCGTCATTTCAATGAAAGTCTTAGGGTTTTGCCTCATATGGTGGTAAGATATATAGCTGTATATTCTTCCCAGAGAGTTCTGTTCCGCAGAAAACCCTAGCGCAACCGGATCTTCACGATTAGGGTTCGATCTCTTAGATTTCATTTGAATGTTCACTCTTTTTAGTGTTCCCTCTTCTTTTGTAACTTTTTAACTTTTTATTTTCATTGAATTGCAGAGATGGCAAAGTCGAAGAACCATACTGCTCACAACCAGTCCTACAAGGCCCACAAGAATGGCATCAAAAAGCCAAAGAGGCATCGCCACACTTCCACCAAAGGGGTACTCTCCTCTTCTTCTATTCTGGGTTTTTCTTTCTTTATTGAGTTGCGTTTACGTATTTTCGGATAATTCACATTTTATGCATAAAAAATGTAATTGTTTTTTTTTTTAATGATTTCTTGCTGGGAATAACTGCAGATGGATCCCAAGTTTTTGAGGAACCAGAGGTACGCGAGGAAGCACAACAAGAAGAGCGGTGAAACAGCCTCTGAGGAAGAGTAAAGTGTCACTCTAAGATGGGGCTATGATGATTATCTTCTTTGATTTATTATTCAAGCCCGGTGTGTTTTTGTGTCAAATTTATCCTCAGTAGTATAGTCATTTTTATGAGTTAATTTAATCCAGAGAATGCAGTACTTACTCTTATAGCATCTTTGCTTGTTTTTGTTATGCGACCTTTTAAATTTTATCAATGGATTATTATTTAGTTGCTTGTGATTTCAGTAACTGCTATAGAATGTTTACGTTTGATTGTATTCATGTTAATGGTTATATTTTGCATATGCTCAAGGAATTTGATTATTCGTAGCGAGATGATTTATTTTATGTCAATTTCATTACTAGTTTACTTTGTTATTATAAAGCTAAGGAAAAGAATCTTTCATTTTAAACTGTCTGTGTTATGTTTTCACTTTTCAATTGTGTTTATATATATAAAACTTCATCTGGGCAGACGGAGAGATGGGATTTTTCGTTCACTAGAGAAGTTGATTGTTGTTAGGGAGTTGATTCTTTTTTGGTCAAATATCTCTAATATCTCTGAACATAGTCTAGTGAATTCTTTTATGTAGATTTTTGGTCTGTTGGTTGCTATAGTCTAGTGAACCTGGGGCCCAAGAGTGGTATGATAACATTAAAGCCAGGATAAACAGACTACAGCTATTTTTGTAGTGATGTTGAGCAACTTTTTTTCATTCTAAATGTATTTGTTTTGATAATTTTAAAAGCTTTTGATCTATCCGAAGATTTTAAGTATAATTTTTAATAAGTTTGTTAGGCTCGATTTAGTTATTCAAGTATTGTTTTCTTAAGCATAATCTTTCCAGTATTGTTTTCTTAAGACTTCATCCGTTAGTCTAAGTAATTTTGATCTTTAGTTTTATCATGATCCCTTGTGTTTTATGCCAAGATTGTTCGGGTGTGGAATAGGTTAAAATCTATCACACTTCAACCAACCAACGCTTTATGATTTACTTAAAATTGTGATGAAGATTTAAATATGTGAAAATGCTAATCCTTCATAAAATACTCCCATAAAATATATGTATCAGAGAAGAAATACTATTTTCTACAACGCTTTGTTGATAATTAGTGTTTCCCAGACAACGAATTTAAATATTAGTGCCATCATTCAATTACATGGAAAAGTAACTACTATGACATATTTAGAAAAGTATTTAAATTCGTTAAGATTTTTATTTCATTCAGTAAAGATACTTTTTATAATTTATTCTTAAATTATATCTACTAAGAATACTGTTTGAGTTTAATAAAAAAATTAAGGACAAAATTATTTTTGCAATGGTATTATTGAATGAAATCTAGGGAATTAAAACTTTCTTATATTTAAGTATTTTTCTCATATTTCAATCTAAAGGGATGGAATTCTCTTTAAAAAATTTTAGAGATCAAATGTTCTTAAAGAGATGGAGCATTTGGGCATTTTAAAATGAGTTTGTAATTTTTTGTCCATAAGAATTAAAACACTATGAGGGAGTTCATAACCCTACTCAGTAAACTGAGAAATTAACGATTTTGCTAGTTAATATTTCATATGCCTAAATAACATCATCATATTTTGTTTCTCTTTATTCTCAATCTGGTATTTTGGGAATATTAAGCAACACTTAATATGGTTGAATATGATAATATCGTGAACAACATCTAACAAGCTACAAATGAATAGCTAAATGGGGAGAAAGTTAATGATTTATCTCATAAATCAGAGTAGTTGTGTGTGTTTGGAACAATTGTAATAATGATATCATTTCAATAATAAGTATCTACATTGTTTAAATTTGTTGAAAATGAGTTTGAAATCGTTTTCGTTTAGATGAAAAAAGTTTTTAAATAATGTAGATTAAACATGTTTTACATGCCGTAAAATACAAAACATATTAAATGTGTCTCCAGAGTATTTTAATATTATCTTATTTACTCTCACTGTTTCAATATATGTATGGCATTTAAAAAAAACAGTTGATTTAATTTATATTTACAAAGTTCAAGATAATATTATGTATTTTTTTTATCAGTTATACTTTTACCTTTTACCACTATTAGTTTAGATATGTGTATTTAGTATAATACAATGATGAAAATAGTAAAATCGAAAATCTAAATATTTTATTAAAGTAAAAAAAAAAATATATTGCATTTTTTAATTTCTCAAAAAAAATTAAAGGACACTTGAAGAGGAATTATTTGTCATTGCATCATATCATATGCAATACCAATAAATAAATTTGACAGACCAATTCCAATCTTTACGTGGTGAATGTGCCAACAAGGATAATTTGGAAAACTGTCAATGGTACACACGGATTCGATGCAAAGCTTGAATCACTGAAAAAATATGCCTTTCTCAAAAAGGTTTTCTCATTGACTATAATTAGATGAAGCAAACTAGTTTAAAAAATGCAATAATAATGAAGATAAGCATCTTTTACAGGCACTAAGAATAGCAAGTAGAAAAGAAACCAGAACATGTATTCTTGGGCGTTCATCCATTATCAGGCCATTATTGATCTCCCTCCTCCAACTGTTCCCCTCATTTACAGGATTCTGAGTGTCTTGTCTTCCTCCTGAAGATGCATTATAATTTGGAAGTCCCTAATACAAGTAAATTTCTTCAAAATTTTAACTTTGTTTGGGAAGATTAGACTGCAACTGGTTCACTTACTGGGCTATAAGCTTGTTCTTTAACCTGTCTCAGTAATATAAAATGGCACGTATTAATACACCTGCCATAATAAACTAGCTGTCTGTGCAAGTCTGAAGTTGTATCTTCTATGTTTCAACTCTTAACTCCGTATTATTAACCCCCCAACCCTTTTCCCAGATCTCGTGTTATGTTTAAATCAAAAGAAGAATTCGCAACCATTAATTCACTCACACCATGTCATTGTCTTAGTTGGCTATAATGGAATAGAAAATATTACGGATTAGCTTACCTTTGCTGATTTGAATAGTTCATCAAGAACCTCGGACAAGGTTGGATGTGCATGAACTGCAAATTTTATGTCCTGCAGTGTACCACAGTGTTGAAATTTACCAAACAAGCAGCCTAAGATTTTTGATAACAAAATGCCAGGCACATACATAAATGACAGCAACGGTAGAAATTTTACCTGAATACGTGTCCCTAATGCTATAGCATTGGATGCTTCATGGATGAGATCTGCTGCATGCAAACCAAAAATATGAACTCCCAGTATCTCTCCATTGTCAGGCCTGTATATCAACTGCAAGAAAGCATAAATGATATTTAGCAATGTCAAGTGGGTGAGAACAGATAAATAAATGCATCCACAGAAAATGAATGTGTGTAGAACAAGTCTCGTGACGAAATAAGTATGGCACTTCTAAAGTAACTAATAGAGGGCTCGACAACAAATTTCAGAACTTTTATAATCTTTCTATACGGGAATAGTAAAAGAGGAAAAATACAAAATTATAACCTTGGCAAGTCCCTCTCCTTCGTTTTCTGCTAGGGCCTTTGTGTTGGCTTTAAAACTTGTTTTGGCAACACTTACTTCAAACCCCTCTTTTTCCCCTTTCTCCCTTGCTTGAGGCTGTAGATTTTATGTTTGATCACAACACATAAGAATTCAAGTAAAGAACTACAATTAATAATTATATTGTATAAATATTACAAGAAGAAAAAGTATGAAAGGGTAAAAGATGGAAAGATTTGTAACCACAAATGATAGGTAATAATTATATGTATAAATAATACAAGGGGAAAAAGTATGAAAGGATAAAAGAATAGAGAGAAATTTAGCCACAAATGAAAGATAACTCATTCATTATAACATGTTGCGGTGAATGACACATCAAACAAAAAAAAATTATGATATACCTCTGTTAACCCAACCATGCTTATTTCAGGATGAGTGAAACAAGCAGCTGGGATGCTTAAATGATTCAGCACATGATCTCTTCCAGTAACTTGTTCAACCACTGTTGGACAAATTTTTCATCAAATGATATTGAAGCCAAAACTAGAACTTGTGGAAAAATTACATCAGTTACCACTTACCTGAAATTCCTTGCGCACTGGCAGCATGAGCAAGCATCATCTTGCCATTTGCATCACCAATACAGAATAAATGCGGCACCTGACATACCAAATCTTGTCAGTAACAATAAGTCGGAGAGGGATAATTCAAGAAATGGAGACAGACCAGTTTGCCATTTGCATCAATTACACGCATGCGCTCATCCACGGGAACAAAGCCACGCTGTGTTACGACATCAATCTGTTGGTACAAGTTACAAAATGTATTTGATTACTTTGTCAGATAAAATCTCCTAATCCCAAAAAACATCTCTGATATAATTGCTTACATTCTCCAATCCAAGATTTTGTGTGAATGGAGCCCTGCCAGTTGCTATTAGTGCAGCATCCACCTGTAGCAAAGCAAAGACAACCATTAGTAAATAATCTGCATTAATTAAATATACAGGTAAAAGAAATGGGAGATCAATCTTCAGCTGGTTACATCCTAATCCTAATTAATTAAGGAAACAGATCATAAAATATAATGAAAAAACAAATACTCCTAAGTAATCATCTAAGATAGTCTGCAATTTTTTAATATGTCATAATGATATTATGACATATTTTCTAGATATTCAAAAAGTCTTGCTTAAGCTAAAAGCTTAGACGACTTTAAACTTTATACAACTGAAAAATCCACAAAAAAGAAAAAGTAAAAATTGATGTCTTGACCCATGATACATAATAGCAAATACGGAAGGAAACAGGCCAAAGAAAATTAAGAAATAATGCAGTGCATGTAATTGCGCCTATGGCCAACAATGTTTTGAAAACTAGACCAGTCATAAACCGATCAAGGCGCGGCTTCAAGGTTTAATGGTTCAACCGGAATTAAACCAGGATCAAACCCATATGAATAAAATTATTTTTAATAATTAAAAATACACAAAAATAATATTACAAATATATAATATCGAAATTTTATGAAGCTAAAAACTAAAATAAAACATAAATTGATAGATTCTTAACATTTAAAGTTAAAATAAAATGTGTATCATAGATTAAAATTTCAACAATATACAGCAGTATTTATTAATAATAAGTTTATATGTAGAATAAAAGAGAAAATGACTAATATTTTAAGTTGATTGTCATTTTAAGGAAAAAAGTTACAATTGTCGTTTCTTTATGTTGAACCAATTTTTTTCCCAGGTTTTATCGTTTGAATCAAACAGTTTGATATCAATATTGTGCACGACCGCTTTTATGCTGAGCCTGACAGGAGAACAGTTCCGGTGGGACTTGTTTTGAGAATCGAGACAGCCAAAAACATTGTTTGAGAGAGATTGGGCAAGAATATGACTAGGACAAGGATAGGGCTGGCATGAGTCATGACCAAAATAAGTCACCATTAGTATGACTCACAAATGGTAAAGAAATCATAATCGCAAGGATCATTATTGAGATAAGTTAGCACCAGTATGATTCATTTGTGAAAATGCACAAAATAGAGAATCACCTCCCAACTTGGTCCCCCCCAATTGTATGTTAATTTACATCTTGACTTTAACTAATATATTACATATCCTTCTTGTAATTGTAAGAAGTTGTTTTCTTCTCTCCTATTCTAAATTGTAGCCTGTTGCCATCTATAGTAACAGTTTGCTCTGCTTTCTTTTCTGTCAGTGAACCCATTGCTCCTTATATATATATATACACACACACACACATATATATGTGTGTGTTTATGTATGTATGTATGTATATAAAATACAGCTGAGTGACAATATGAGCAACTGACTTATCTTCTCAATGTATCAAGTTGGTTTCAAAGTAGGTACAGTCCCGCTCTGCTATCCATCAACGGTCCTTTTGTTTTTATGATATTTCATAATATAACAACGGACTTGGTCTGGAATCAAGTTGATCAGACCAAATTCCATAATACAACTATTGTTTCCATTTCCTTGTGTTAATTTCATTGTTGGTTCTTATTGAAGCCCAAAGGAGTCAAACAGCGACAATAAGATGGCAGGCAGAGACAATGAAGGAGAAGGTACAGTGAGCCAAACAATGGTGTACGTGGAAGGAAAAAAAGGCAGCACACACATGAAAAAGGTTGTCCAGACATATTCCAGTGATTCCTTTCACACTTGCGAAATTATGAAGTTTAGGTAGGGAAACACGGACAATACTGCAGTGATATTGTGTATCATAACATATATACTAAGCACCAGCTCCTATTTATACCTATAATAGACTTCTAATTCTAATTGAATTAGTTAAGTTAGAATAAAATTAAAAATAATGAAACATGAGAACTACCCCTAAGAGATTCTATGTTACAATAACAACATAACATTTTATATATTTTCTAAGTTCTAATAACAATTAATAATTTTCTCCCTTGTGTGGGAGAAATGTTAACAATTAATGATATGCACATAAACCAAAAAGTTTTCTAGAAAAGATTAAGTTACCTCCAAAGTCTCCTTTGGCTCCTTAGTTTTTGCATCAATAAGTTCGATCAAGACAGGTTTTCCATCCCTTGCAGGTGTGATCTATATACAATAAACATGAGCACTGTTGCGTCTCAAAGTAGCCAAACAAAATTATATAAAATGTCACAAGATGTAGTTACCTTGGTGGCAAAAACTCCAGTATGGTAATCAATATTCCGGGGATTTATAAGGACCCTCTGAGCCAACTTGCTAATTTCAGGATCAAATCCAGGCATAAGTTGATCTAAAGCCTCTACAAAAGTAACCTGCAGAATACCAATTACTACTGTATCATTTCAGTGATAAATTGGGGATCATGAATTTTACAAATAAGGAAGTAATAAAAAGAGTAAATATTTGTTAACTTTTAGGACAAATAAAAAGTATAAAGATCAATATGATTTAACAATACATCTACATTTTTCTGATTTCAAATGACGGGATCAATTATTTGTTAATATTTCCCAAGTACAAAAGGTAATGAGAAAAGAGAGAAAAAGAATCACAAAGATATGGTACCTCACTTCCAAGTGCTGTATAGACATCACTGAATTCAAGGCCAATATACCCACTTCCTACAATTGCTATCCAATCAGGAACAGACTCCAGTTTAAGTGCATGGTCACTGGTAATCACAGTCTTCCCTGAAGATAAATTTTAGAAAATGTTTCACTAAAGAGTAATTATACCCAATAAATCTTATAAAAGTTAGAAAGATGGAAAAAAAATAAAGGTACAAGGTGTGAATTTATCAAACTTGTGTCATAAATTAGGGAGAAGATTCCCTCATGACTAATATATGACAAATGTTAAAATTTCAAATTATATGGAAGCTAAACTATACATTGAATATCTATCCTTATGTTTAGCATATAGGGAAGTTTTCTGAAATATTTAATTGCCAAAGAGATAATGATCGTTGCAGGCTACCTCTGAAAAAACAAAGATGAGCATATCCCTTCCCCTAAAAAATGAGTACAGATAGGACTGCATGAATCACTGAACTGACTTTTCAGATTAGAGATAAGAATATCCCTCTACTCTGAAGAAAGACTTTCTTTATGCAAATGTCAATAGAGTCTATTATCCTACCTACTACCAGAAAAAGAGTATCTCCAATTTACAATTGATCACCCCTTTTTCAATTGATGGCAGTCTAGTTTCTACTTTATTGTAGCTGGAAGGAAAGCCTAAAAGGCACTGAATTCAGTAAAACTTGAATGAGGAAGAAAAAATTGATATGTACCATCAACTTCAATGCCCTTTGGTACAAAAGGAACAGACCCAGTAGCAATGATGATATCTTTAGCAGTTACTACTTTGTTTGAAGAGCCAACTTTCACCTTTTGAGGGCCCTGCAAAAGTTTTATTTCTAAATCAATTTCTTCCAATAATTTCCTATTTTCAAACATTCCAAACTCAAAGTAAGTGATCATACTAATATCTATTTAAGCATTTACAATTATAATGCCATAGAAACCTCACAGCATAATATCAAAGTCACATTACCAATATGGTTCCAAAACCAGTAAGTATGTCCACTCCAAGCGCTTTCATTGAGTTTGTCAAATTGTTACGAATTTTCGAAGCAAGATTATTAGCATGATCAGCGACTCCTTGTCTGTCATACCCAGCCGCAGATACCTAAAGCGAACACAAAATAGAGAAAAATGATCGTGTAACTTGCTCTACACTTCTACCAAGAGATAATAGCATTCAAAGAGCTTAGCAGTCTTGTAGTCAATCGATCAGAAATCAGTGTTCACATCACTTTCAGATATTATAAAAATGTTAACCATTCATAAATTACCTGTGGTATTGTTAAAACTTGTTTTTTATAACTGCCTTAATTTATTTCCATTTATTTTAATTTATTAGTTGCTACACTTTAGGAGCAAGTCTCGTTTCTGGAAACTGCTACTGTTATGTGGTTTCTGAAAACTGCTATTGCTACGTGGATGCTTTCAATTTTATCATTATAAATGTATCTGAGATATATTGAATAAAATATCCTTTTCCAGAATTAAGGAATTCTCCACCGTCTTCCTTCTTCATTTTCTCGTTGCCTCTTTTTTCTTCTATTAATCCAACAAATTGGTATCAAGAGCATCTTTTTCTTAAGGGACCTGTAGAATGGAAGGAGAGTCAACTTCCTTTCCAGTAACACTTCCCATCTTTAATGGGGAAGACTATGATATGTGGGCTGTAAAAATGCAGTCCTATCTAGAGGGACTGGATTTATGGGAAGCTGTGGAAGAGGATTACACTGTTCAACCGCTGCCAGAGAACCCTACCTTGGCTCAAATCAAAAATCACAAGGAACAAAAAACAAAGAAGGCAAAGGCAAAGTCATCCTTGTTTTCTGGTGTTACAAAATTGATCTTCACCAGAATCATGACTCTTAAATCACCAAAAAAAATTTGGGATTTTTTGAAGGAAGAATATGAAGGAGATGACAGAATAA